TGTGCCTGTGCTCAGGAAGGCTTGAGGGCAAATTTGCCTCATTTATTTGAGCTTTTAACACACTAGAAATATGACTCCAGTATCTCTTCCTTAAAATACTGTGCTGTTAGTTGTTAACTCGATATTCTGTTGTTTTCTCTTAATGTGCTGGCCATTCTTTGTCATAATTTTAATCTTGCTTTAGAGCATGGCTCTCTTCCTTCTTTCCCTCCTTTCTACTCTCTTACTGGCTTCGAGGATATATATAAACCCTTTATATTTTAACATGCATCGCCAGCCCAGTGATCCAAGATCTAGCCTTGAATAGTTGATATCTCACTTGGATCTTTCATAGCCTTCACAGACTTAACAGGGCTAAAACTGAACCCAGGCTTTATTATTATCATTGTTCATCACGTTCTGAAATCCAACAATCTAGATCTCAGTCTAGAGTCTTTTCTATTTTAATTGCCATATTCAATTTCTAAACCTTTTGCATTAAACATCTGCCTAGCACCTTTCATCTCCTCTGAGACTACAATGGTGAAACTTATCTCTAACTTGGAGCACAATAGCTGCAAGTGGTCTTCTTCTATTCTAGTCCTTCCCTCATCAAAGCCATTCTTTACATAAAAAGTAAAATTATTATCCAACATATATAATGGCATTATTTCCTGCTCATTTTTAAGTGTTAGCTCATACCTTTTCTCTTCAAATGGACCTTTACTAATCATCTTATCCTATGACTTCTGATACTAGAATTTTTATTTCTTAGTTCATTATTTATTTCCTTCAATGGATTTTTTGAAATTGGAAATTTTTGTATTTATTTATTCTCCAGAATATAAACTCTGTGAAGGCAAGATTTTGCTTATGATGTTATTTTTATTGTACAAAACAACCATGCAGAGGTTTTAAATAAACCTTTGTGTATTAATGAGTTAATCTTAGCTGATTCACCTTAATGTGTAATACATTTTGTTTAATAATGTCCTCAGCATTATGAGTTATAGATTCATATTTTTATATAGTCTCAAAAGACTATGTTTAGTAAAATTCTGAATATTGTTCACAACTGTTATAGAATTATCTAACTGGGTCAATTTGTATTATTGAGAACTTACCTTATGCAATTAACAATCAAGCCACAAAATGATAGTTTTAGATTTCTTTCAATGCAACCATAATAAATGATTGTTTTTGTTTGACTTATTTGAATGGACTCAGGTGACTACCCAAATTTTATGCAATAAAACATTGAAGTATTTGCTAGAACTTATATCCACATACACATATACTTCTATGTGAGGGCATATGCACATGTGTGTATTTGTGTATGGGGTGTGTGTGTGTGTGTGTGAGAGAGAGAGAGAGAGAGAGAGAATCTGAGATAGAGAGAGAGAGAGATACACACAGACTCAAGTATTGGTTATGAGGTCTATAACTAGGACTTCAATTAAAAACTGAAACCTATTAAGGATAACTCAGATGGATATTTTGCTAATTTTTTTTAGGAGAAAAACGTTCCAATCAAATATTTGAGTTATAATTATCTGAATAAAATTATGAGTATGCTTTTTATGAACATTCTCTAAAAGACAATATGCCAAAAATAATACCTTATAGTCATTTCTCAAAATAAAGTCAATCAGATAAGCGTGAGCATTTAATGTTCTGCTTAGTAATATTTAATCTTTAGTGGCCAAAAAAAAAGTGATCTATTCTTTTAAAGTTATTTGCATTTTCAAAACATTGACCTACTTTATAGTAGTTGCCATCATATACTTTTCTGCACAGCATTTTCCCAGGTAGTATGTACAATTGTTGCATAATACTATGATAGTGTGCTGTGCCTACTAAAATTCAAATTCAGAAGTCTCCTTATGCTTTACATGTAGATTAAATCATGTCAATCTTCTAAGTTTTAAATTATTTAAATTTCTTAAAGGAAAAAAAAAAACACCCATTTTGTACAGCCCTGGAGGCTGGAAAATCATAAGCATTCCTAACTATAAATAACTTAGTCTGTATTTGAAATGTAAATTCATAATTATAATTAGTATTCCAACCATTTTTTCAGATTACATAGGTGTATTCCCTTTACAATTAAAAAAAAAGAGATTATATTAAATATTACCTTCCTTTGGGATGGACTTCAGTTAACATTTAGTTTCCTGAATAATAAATATGCTTCTGATTTTGAATACAATGTATTTCCTACCCTTTACAGAGGTAAAAGTATTTCAATATTTTCAGTGTCTATTAACATGTTTTCATGACATCCTGCTATCACATTCTGTTAATTCCTACCATGTGGTTCATTGATAATTGGGTTATAACTAAAGTATCCATAGCTTTATTAGTATATTTAATTCTAGCTTGCCTTTGATTGAGAGATAAAAATTAATGTACCATAATCACCCTTGGGAAAAATCTTGGGTTTTATTTTCCAAGAAGTGGGGAGCTCTGAGTCAGTCTTATTTAATATTTGTGTCATAACTAAGAAAATGAATTAGATGACATGCTCACTAAGTTCAGGGATGATAAGGGTTACTTTTACAAGACCAAATGCTTCATATGGAGAATAATTCATAAAGGTAGAAAATCAATTCTTTCTACCCAAGATAGATTTCAAAGGAATAAATACAAAGTGTCCTGGTAACAACTGGACATATAATATGTCACACGTATTTTGGTAATCATATATGTATATTATTTGAACAGAACATTAGAAATTGTCTACTTGAATACTGTAGTTGTTCAGATAAGTAAGCTGAGATTCAAAGATATGACTTACTCTTAGGTTAATTACTCCCGCATTCACATTATTCATTAAATTAACGTGGTAAGAATAGGTTCATTTAGTCACTATAATATTGAGACATCAGGTTACAAAAAGATTTAGGAAAAAAATTTAAAAGTTTGTCTCTATCAGTATACCAGTAAATTGTTTCTTTTAATAATGTTTCTAGGTGGAATTGTTATGGAATTTGGCTTAGAATGCAGCATAGCTCAGAGGTTCTCCAACCTTATAAGTATGACATGGGCTCCTTGATAGAAAATGTAACCCTATTTTTACCCATTTTTCTTCCCAGAGAATGCTGTTAGTAATTACAGGTCTAAAAACAGTGGTGGATAAAATACAGGAAATCTACATAACACAAGTTATCATTATCATTAAAAGAGCAAAGGCAGCAGCTTCATATCTTATTCAAATCAACAGCTTAGCCATTAGATGTGAAAAATTCTGTAACATATTGATGAAATTAAAGATAAAAATATATAAAATATACACATAAAAATGAATTCATATAATATTCAAATAAAAATATATGTATATATATTTCTGAGTATAAGAATAAAAGTTAGTTATCAAACATTGAATAAATTTGGCTTTTGACCCACCATAAACACTGTTCACTAGAGAACTATCAATCCTCCCAGTGACAAAACTAAATAAAATCCAATAATTTTCTTTAAAACATTAAACCAAAATTAAGTAAAGATGTAAGTATGTTTAGCAACTATAAAATCCAGCAAGTAATTTGCAAATACTATTTAATGTGATAATGTGCAACTAACATCATCACAATAAACACCATCATCATACTGTTAATAAGAAGCATCTAAATAGACTCCTTATTAATCAAGAAATGTTGAACACTAATATACACTCTAGGTATAATTCATGTATGTTAATTATTAATTAGTTATATATAATTATATACAATTAATGTTAGTATATAATTAATGTAGTAATACATTGATTTAATCCTCACTAGAACCTCTCGAAACAGCAGGTACAGAGAAGCTAAAGGTTAGTACGCAACGGGAACAATATTTAAACTCGGGCACTGTAACTCCCTAGTATATACTCCTGGTTCATTAGCAACAGATAAAGTACTAATATAAAAGCAATGTTTTCACAGAGCAGACTTTTGTTGTAGAGCTAAAAAGTTAGTAGTCATTGTTTTTGAGGATAGGAGTTAAAGAAACAACTCTGGTATACGTAGATTTCTACTCACTGTTAATTTAATCTAAACCTGAACTTGAAAGCTAAAATAACTTCTTTTAAAACCAGCTTATTGCTTTCTACTACTGATAAAATTAAAATATGTTTCAGATTTGCATCCAACCGTATTTCTGTAGTTCAAGTCTTTATGTTAGGTGTGGGTAGAAAAAGTAGTACTTCCAGTTAGGTAACTTTGATTCTTTTTAAATGCAAAGCTTCAGTTACATCCTGCTGTGACAGCACTTGACTTTTTAGTTGTATGAGAACAAGCCAGGCCCCATAAAAATAAGTATTTATCTGTCATTTTCCTCCTAGGTTACTTCAAAATATAAAACACACAATAGCTTGACATGCCCTAAAACAAAAAGCAATAATCTACAACCATAAATCCAAACAAATGTTGTTTATTTTTCTCAAAAAGAATAACTATGACAATCAACATGTCCATCATAAACAAGCAAGCAATGTTGCTATTTCCTAAAATATAGTTTTCAGTAGTCAGAAGAAACGTTTACACTACTGACTGAGTTGTTCCCTGGACCTAAAACAGAAGTATATTTCTCATATTATTAAAAATGAAGCAATTTCCTCAGCATTACATCTTTCTAAATAAAAATACAGTTTATGTTTCCCACGCTCATATTATGATGAAATAGGCTTATGTTCATGTTATAAAACACTAAGATATACAAAATGTTATAGAAATGTTAGGTATCATTCATTCATAAGACATTCTTAGACTGTATGTCTAAGGCAAATTTATTAAAACAAAAACATAAAATCATGCAACTACAATAAATTATATACAGCTATGAGAATAAATGATTAGAGAAATATTCAATTTCTATATGGGGAGAATATTGGGAGGAATAATTGAATATATTTACTGATTATTATTATTAGACTCTGTAATAGATTTTTATTTTAAACGCAACAGTGCTTAAATATTTCAATATTATTTTAAATATTCAATGGTATTTACTTTAAATATTCAACATTGTTTACTTACAATCAAGCCACTGTTCACTTGTCTTTTTTCTCTGCCATGGATTCTTTTATAAAAAATGCCTCCTGGATTAAACTGAGTACTCCAAATGATGATATCCCTTTGATAGTACACATCCATGCCTGTTATTCTTGAATTATGTTCAATGTGAGAAATTTGTTGATGATCACCACTGTAGTTGAATGGATATATAAAACCCAGGATATCAGTGTCATTAGCAATGTAGAGAACTTGATCTTCAGAGCCTGGAGGTTATTATGATAAAATACAAAAATAAAGTAAATTTCAACCAATGTAAAAGCAATTATTTATTGTACTTTTAAATTATCTTGAATTGTTATTCTAAATACAGTTTCTTCCATATCACCTTTCAGTCTTCATGACTTAGGATTTGTGATACCCATTTATCTAAGAATTTACAATAATTATAGATACAGCTTTTTCTATAGCAAGTGTTCTTTATGACTAGAAATTAGGCATCTGTAGATGTCCTTTTTATGAAAAGAGATTACTGTTTGGTAAGTCTCAAAATACTATGTTCTAAATGCTTTGATTCTCAATATTCAGATGCTATTCCACATAATCATCAAGCCTCAAAAGTTTCTGAGCATTTATTTATGAGTGATCATTACTTTGGTCTAAGAATTAAAAAATTAAGATATAAGAAGTCTTCTTCCTATATCCACTTACCTTAAATGCTTTTCTAAATTTTATTACATAAAAGAATCGGTATTGATCACACTGAAATTCCATAACCTCTAATTATCTAGAACCCTGCTTTGTGGAATACTCTGTCCTAAAATCTTGACACCTACCATAAAATACAAATGTTATATTCATACTGACAAGTAAAATCCTAAAGAAAATCCTGAAAATACTAATTGAATTATTAACTAAACCCTAAACACAGATTGAATAAGCCTATATAGGTTCCAAAAATAAATAAAATCACTCCTAGTGGGGCTATTGTCTTAATAGCTGTGGCTTAGTGAATGTTAACTGTGTGTTAAACACTGTATTGAGCCTTTCATAATTTATTCTCACTTCTTACAATAACCATAAAAAGTAGGTATTATCCTTATTTTACAGAGGAGGGACTGATGCTCAGAGAGTTTAATGACTTCCCTAAGGCTACATAGTCTAAAAGGTGCAGTAGTGGGATTCAAATCCAAGTACATCTCACACTATAGCCCACACTTGATCCACTATGTCATGTTGTTTTGCTATGGTAATAATATTTTTATTAAAAATATCCAGTCATGTCTTGTGTCTAACAATATTAAAGTTACTATATTATTTATTAAAAATATATGAGCATTAAAATCCATGCCCATAAAAGCCCCAAACCCATGTATGTTATTTAATCTTCTTAAAAAATGATATTGGTAAGTGGAGGAGTTCCAAATTTGAAAGCATAATTTTGCTTTAAAATCTTTAGGCTTCTTACTCAAATTTGCATTCTCCTTATAATGCTAACCTTTGACTTTTCATTTTTATCCCAATAGTGTAATAATTTCTTAGTAACACTTAGAGCAGATAACAAACAGATATTTTACATTCTTTCACACTGGCTTTACCCCTTTTGACAGGTTGTTTCACACATGAAGTGATTTTAATAGGAACCATGTATTTGATAGTTATTTCTATAAACCATCCCAGAAGTGATTAAGGATGATAACAAATCTATTGACCAATTTAATTAACATTAAAAAGTTATTTATTTTATATTGTTAAGCATGAATCTGTTGCTTAAACTCACCATAAAATATTTTCCCCATAAAAATATTTACAACAAAATTTTAATAGCATTTGCAACAATGCTTATAACCTTACCTTTTGCTATGCAGGTGTTATTTCTTTCTTGAAAATTTTGGTCACACACACATTTATATGATCCTTCCACATTTATACATTGGTGGGAACATGTGCCAAACACCAAACATTCATTAAGGTCTAAAAAAAAGAAAAAAAGAAAGAGGGAGGGAGAGAGAGAGCTCAAAATAGCATCATTATACATCTAATTCACACTATTATTCTTTTCATTTTCTAAAAAGAGACAAATTTACATTTCATACTTTAACTTCCTATTCCTATATCTTTCATTTCTCCTTCAAATATTAAGTCTGTGACTTAGTGAGTTATATTTTCACTTCTTGAGTCATATTCATGAAGAGACTGTGTAAAAGAAAGGGCTATACTGAGGCTATGTGAATTAAACAAAAACTGCATATCACTATAGAAATAAAGGTATCAAAATGACAAAATCACAAAAAATATTCTGTAGCTTGGCATACAACTCTAATTTGGAGCTTAAGCAAAACTGGGATTTAGGTTGGGTGATGCTGGTGAATTACCTATTTTCTCCTTTTCTCATCTGATTTTGCATTTAACATACATAATTCCTCTGTCTCCTTTATCATTTACAGTTGCCTTAATTACAGAATAAATCTGTGAGATAAACTTGTCTCTCGAACTAGGGAATTTAAGGATCAGCACAATCATAATAACTACATTCTGTTTAGTATATGAAAATGTTGTAAGGGCTCAGTGATGTAGATAAGGACTTTCCCAGTGTCAACTGTAAATAAAAAAGCCAAGGCTTCAACTCAGGTTTTCTGATTCTATTGTCCCCACTATGATAGCTTGCCCAGAGAGAACTTAAGCATTCTCCTGGCAGCTCATCTTGGTGTTTCATTAAAATATCAGGTAAAGAAATAAAAAACTATATTTACTTGATTTTAACAATTATTTTACAGGGATAAGGTAAATGCATTTTATCAGCACTTAACCATCAGAATTACAAAAAATATTTCTGGTTTTCCAGCACCTGTGACTGAACTAGGACTTATTTGTTATGGATTCCCTTTGGTATGAAATTCAAATAAGCAGAAGTTTTCATTTTTTCTTTGCTTTTTTATTTATTTATTTTTTCGAGACACAGTCTAACTTGGTCATCCTTGGTAGAGTGTCATGGCATTTTAGCTCACAGCAACCTCAAACTCTTGGGTTCAAATGATGCTTTTGCCTCAACCTTGCACCAAGCTGGGACTATAGGCGCCTGTCACAATTCCTGGCTATTTTTTAGAGACAGGGTCTCGCTCTTGTTCAGGCTGGTCTGGAACTCATGAGCTCAGGCAATCCACCCATGTGGGCCTTCTAAGTACTGGGATTACAGGCAGGAGCTACGGTGCCAGGCCCAATTTTTCATGACTTGATAAAATCTCAGCTCCCTCACAGGTCCCTATAATAACCGGAAGTACCATTTTTGCTCATTTCTGCAATAAGGTCTAGATCATGAGTTTTTCAAGAGGAAGGCGGAAGCCCACACATGCCTTCTACCCAGAACAGTGTTCGGTGCTCAGCAACTATTAACCTCTTTCTACTTTTCTTCTGTCATTTGCTATGATTTTTTCATTCTTTCAGATACTCCAATTGAAGTGCCTAGGCTTAAACATCAAATTGAAATTTCTCATGCATTTTTGAAACACATAAGTGCAAGGGCACAAAGAAATTTAAATTTTGGTATTAGAAAATCCATGTAATATCTTTCCCTCCTTTATACCATGTCAAAATTACTTTCTCTATTATCAAAAAAGCTCATGTATTAAATGAAGATGTCAGTTTTATTAGAGCACAGAAGTTACTCATTTGTACAGCAAAAGTACATAAAAAGAGTGGATTTATAGTAATTTTGAATGAAGACTGTAGCTTGAAGGTTATATTTGGTGTGGGATATAATTAAAATTTAAGAAAATTCTGAAAATAGAATTTCTAAATTTAGTAAGAATCTAGAGGAAACACAGCCCACACCAATAGCAAATTAATGCTATTGGAATTAAAATCTTGAATAAATTATATGTGTATACTTATATAAAATTGGTAGACAGTATCAGGGAAAAGAAATACCATAGTTATGAGAAATAATTGTATTTTATTGAAAGAGAAAACCTATGTTGTCAGCTTTCACTGTTTCCTACTAACAGAGGAAAAAATGTCATAAATAATCCAAATAAGCATGTAACTCAAAATGTACCTAAATATGATATGACTACTCTTCCCCTTTTGGGTAAGCATAACTAATTTATTTTAATAATTCTATTTTGATTGCCATAACATAAAATCATTTTTCTTTACCCAAGACTATAGTAAAGAACCAGTACAGAAACAGACTAATCGGTGAAAGTATTTTAGGACTTGAACTTAGCCTGGATAAGCCAGACTGAGCAATTGGAAGTTTGGCTCTAATCACAATAAAAGATGAATAAGAATACAAATATCGGTTTTATGGGAGAAATTTGTAGAAGTATATATGTGTCTGTATTTCATGGCTCTATAGTTAAAACTTTAATATGGATTAAATTGACTTACTATGAGATTCTGGGTATTATATATCCTCATTTTTTAAATCTCAAGTAAGTTGAAATTTAGATCCTGACTTTGAATTTTTAAAGACACATTATGATAATACTGTTTAAAACATGGTGTTAGGACAAAAGCCCACAATTCTCAAAATGTGAATTACCTATTCCAGTACTGCATATTCCACACTCAAGGGAAATGGGTCATCACAAACATATTCTTTCATGAAAGGGGTCTAATTTTCCAGTAGTTCCTGAACCAGCAATTTAATTATTTGCATTTCAAAACAAAATTGTAACAACAGAACTGAAATTCCTGCAGGTCTGAATTTGTCATAGAAAAGCCTTTGTAGCCTCAGTGATGGTTAGCTTAGCTGTACAAACAAACAAGCTCTTGACCCCAGAGACTTTCACTTTCATAAGTGAAATGGTATCCCGTAGACACACAGTATTTTGATGAAAATCAATCCCCTGTCATCTCACAATTTAGCAGTCTTGGGAGTCTTTTTATAACCCAAAGATTTAAGAGCAAGCTGTTGAGAAAATGTACTCTACCTTCACATTGTCTGTTTTTCATGTTTCTCTGAAATCCAGGCTTACAGCGGCAGAAAACAGATGTTTTTATTTGATTACAATATGCATCATCTCCACATGGATTCACATTATCTTCACAGGTAAATTCAGTGGAAGCTAGGATTTAAAAATATAATTAAAACTAATGTAATTCTAATTCTTAAAGTGCGAGTTTACTTTTAAAAAAAATTGAAATGATATTTCTTATTCCATACATAATGTGTTTGGATGTATAATGGTCTGGTCTACTTTTGATATAAGCCCTCATTCCTTATAAGAGTATAGAAGTAGATTAGAAACTGAACTTATTTACATTAAATATAGCTTAAAATGAGCTGCCAACGACCTGATATTTACAGCTGTTGTCAAGTATACTACTTTCTAAAAGAAGTTAAAAATCAATGATACTAATCACAGGGTATCTTTACAATGTTACCATGTATGAGTACTACATCTTTCTCTAAGAACCAAAGCATTTTCTATTATCTACCCAGAGACAGGGATAAATATTGCTTGCTTAATCTTAACATTCATGAACTCAATCTAGGTCATTACTTTGCTCAAATGGGTAGGCTAAATCCACAGTTTTAAATTTATTTTAGTCTAGACAGACATATGAAAAGAAACACTTGAGTGTGTAACATGATCCAATGGATGGTCACAAGAGGCAAGACTATTAGAATAAAGAGTTACTTATCATTTCCAGTGTAGTAGTTGCAATTTTATTGATTTCTTTCTCATTCAGGAAAACATTTTAGAATGCATATAAATGACAGGAACATTGTTATAGGAATAACAGTATATTATCTCTAAGTTACTTAAGAAAATCGTATTTTCAAGAAACATGAGCATTTTCATTATTAGAATTGTAACCATTATTAATCCCCACTGATTCAAATATTTTACAATTAATTAAAATTCATCAGGGGAATGATACCATTGTTTAGATATATGTGGCCACATTCTTGTAGGCCTAGCTCATCACTGAGGAACAACTGTGCATAAATGAGAAAAAATAAAAATATAAGAATATAAGGTATTTTATGGGTTTTGTAAGCAATCTGAATTTAGTATCTTAAATTGAATTATTTTTCATTACTATGGAAAATCAAACATCAAGAATTAGTTAAAAACTAAATTATTAGCAAAAAGGATTCAAGCATTATAGTACTCTAAATAAAATATATCTTCTATAAAAATAACTTATAGGATAATTAAAAAATTTCAAACAGTGATAAATTATTAAGACATTTATCATCATTTAACCAAATACCACTATTTATAAAATTAAAAAATACTTAATTCAAATGCTCACAGTATTTTTTTTTTTTTTTTTTTTTTTGAGACAGAATTGCACTTTGTAGCCCCTGGTAAGAGTGCTCTGACATCATAGCTCACAGCAGCTTCAAACTCCTGGCTTAAGGATCCTCTTCCCTCAACCTTCCAAGTAGCTGGGACTACAGGTATGTACCACCATGACTGGCTAATTTTTCTGCATGAGGCACAGTACCCAGCCTACAGTAAAACATTAAAGGATATAGATTTCTTTGCTGACATAAAAGACTGTATTTGAATATTGAATTCTAGATTCAGCTCTAATAAGGATACTCATTACAAAATCAACCTTAACCTACCTCATATTTTCTGCAATTAAGTGATGTTCTAAGGTTGCTTTGGCAAAACTTACAAAAGAAGAGCAATCTGTCCATCAAATAGTAAAGAAAGTCTTAGCTATGTTTAAGTAGAAATTAGACTTGTGTGTCACTATACTCACATAGTCTGCAGCCTTGTTCATCTGAACCATCTCCACAGTCATCAAGTTGATCACATTGGAGGTCCATGGGGACACAATTTTTATTACTACAAGCAAACTCATCCTTTTTACAAGGCCTTGCTTTATATGTAAGCTTACCTACAGAGTCATTTAAAAAATGATTAGTGCCTCATAAAGTCAAAGTAAATTTACTGAGCACATGAAATCTTTAAAATTTTACTAAGTGTTGTGAAAAACATGGGCCCACATCCTTTAGTTGAAGTTTTTGAGCCCAAATGAAAAGAATTCTGAAATTTTTGGATTTTAGAAAAGTCATATTGTATTTACCCTATAGCAAATAACACCTTATTTCTATAGGAAAATGTCTCAATATTCACCCTGGGGGGGGGGATACTTTAAGATTTTCTTTTAAGTGATATAAACATCTCAGAGGAGGTCATTTGTCTTTAAATGATTTTGCTGCATATTTAAGTAAAACCATCTATGTTAAAAGCTTTCAAATTTCAGAATGGTGAAAAAAGGGATTGTGTACACATAAAAATGATCTCTGTAAACCCTCTCCTTTAAAGGAACTATCTTAACAAGGAGCATTTTTAAACCTCTATGTTGTTTCTCTCATCTGATTAGAATTTTTTGGAATGAAGTGCCCAGTGCGGACTCTGTATCTCCTTTGCAAGTGAAATATTAATGGATTACTTTTGTACTCTATCTGAAGAACAAGTACCTAAAGAAATACCCTCAGACATCCACATAAAAATGCATTTTTTAAATTATTTGATACCAAATCATTATAGTATAATATAGAATCATGTAGTATAATATCTTGTAGCAGTCACTGTTATTTATTAATCAAGTTTACCACTACAGTGATCTTCATCTGAGTTGTCCCCGCAGTCATCAATACCATTGCACATTTGTTCAGACTGCAGGCATGTTCTGTTATTTCTGCATCTGTGAGGTCTTGTGGGTGGGCAAAGAAATTTGACTGAAAAAAAGGAAAGAAAAACATCTCCTTTGGGTACACTGATTTATGAATAATGTCCTTCCCTTGTCTTGCTTTCTTTTTTTCTTTTAAAATCCATTATCTAGCTTTTTAAAATATATTTTGTTATGAAAATTTCCTACAAGCAGATATTAGAAAACTGTGTGATAATGGAAGCTTATGATCCTAGTTATTTATATTAACTACATAAAAGAGTACACAGCCGAGGATCTTAAATAAAGTAAAAAAGAGCCAAACTTCATGATTTCATTTCCAGATGTCTTGCCCGAGCTGACTTCACTTGGTGTACCAAATTAATTTATGCATACAATTTATACAATATGGCAGGATACTTAGTTATCCCAAAGAGCATTTTCACACAGCATAGATGCTGAGCAAGCATATGCTTGTTATAGGCCTCAGATTCAAAGTAGGTTATTCATTGAAAAAACAAAACGTTCCAACAATATTATAGCAAACATCTTACTTTCTGTAAACAAAAGTTTAGATATGCATTTGAGGCACATTAGTGCTTTTGGTTATACATTTTTAACGTGTGTGTGTGTGTGTGTGTGTACATGAGACTTAAAGAGACAAGGAAAGCCAGAAGATTACACATGTGACCCTTCTATCACTATCTCATCTAAGACTTCTATCCATAAAACAGGAAACATCTGTGTTTAGTCTTCATCCTTCCATGTAGAATTCTCTAAGACTCTGTCCTTGGTCATCTGATGTTCTCACTCTTGGATTCTTTCCTTAGGCATTTTCATTCAGGCTTGCTGATTAACTTGGCATTATACCCAGAAGATTTTTCAGTTCTCTATCTAGTGTAAGCATCTCACAATTGATAGGACATCCACTTAGGAATTTCAAATGTTCAGTTCTTAATAATTTTCTCCAATCTTCTCCCTAAACATTAGCTTTGTCTTATTTTCATAGTTCAGTTCATGTCACATTATGGCCAGAAGTCTGGGATTATTCTCAAAGCATCCTTCTCATTTACCACCAATTTTGAGTAGTCACCAAGTACTTTTGATATTTTCTCTAAATTTGCTCACTTCAGACCACCCTTACCAGTTACAATCACAATAGCTCAGCTCTTCATTATCTGTTACAGAAAGGTATCCAAAGTGTCTCCAGTTTTACTCTCCATCATCAGATCCTCAATAATCTATGTGAAAAATCAATCTAACACACTAATCTGATCAAATCTTCTATATTATCCATTGCCTTGAGAATATAATTTAAGATATTCTGCATGGCCTAAAAGACTTGTCATTATCTTGTCCACCACACCCTCCTTTAGACTCATCCCTTGTTCCTCTCAATAACATCCTAGCAATTCTACTTTATTGCAGCTCCTTAAATTTGCTACACTCTGTGCCTGGCCTCCTTGATTTAACTGAAATCTGATTCTTTTTCCAAATATATTCCCACCTCTTAAGTGTTCTAGGAATGTCTCTTCTTTTGCTGAAGCCTCATATAATCTCATGTTTGAAACATCCTAGTTTTCTATCTTAGCTTCTAGAACTTTATTACCACATCTTCACATTCTATTTTCCAAATAAAACTAAATACTGTTATTTTGAGGGATAGGCACTTGATTATATTGCTATCTTGTTGCTATTTTCTCAGCAACCTCATAAACATCACCTCTTTCCAAATTCACTGAACATCATAGCACCTCCAGTCAAAGTGTTTTTTTTTTTTTTTCTCCATTCAAATTCATTCCAGCATCTTAGATGAGTTCAACATTCACATGAGCAAACCAACCAATAGCCAGGCTTCATAGCTCTTTGAGTTTCTTACATCCGATATTCTTTTACTATTATCTGTTTCTGCCATCACTTTCCTAGGTTTAGATGATAGCACATTTCAATAAATTTCTCTTTTTGATGCAGCCAGTGACAAATAAGCACTATTATTCGCAAATAAGAACACTAACTGATACACATGGCTGCAAGCATGGACATGCTATTAACAATTATGTTATTTGTTAAACCACTAATTTAAGTGCCCCATATTTTGACCACAATCTCCTATCTTTTAAGACTTTTAATTCGATTAGCATTATTATAAAACTTCAGTTACATCTGAACCTCTAGTCTACCCCATTGATGCCACTATCATTTCCCCATTCACCAGTGATTTTTTTGTCTTTACTTCCCTCCTTACTAATATTTATGGGTAACCTAGAACATGTTGGACACTGTTAGAAATACTAAGTGAGTTTAAAAACTCAGTTTCTTCCTAATAACTTGGATTCTTTGGCCCTTTTCTCTTTTTCATCTTAGTTATCTAACAAAACTCTAAACTTAGAGGAACAAAACCATCTGTTCTCCCAATATCTGCATCTGGGAAGCCAGAAATGTTGCAGATGAATATACTACAAAGCCAACTGATACCATCAGGTATGAATATTTATCAATGCTACTTAGAAAGCATAAATATATATCTTCATGTCACTTTCCTACCTTTTGCAATAATGATTCACATTTGCATTCCTTCCAAACCTCCCCACACCAAACTTCTACCTTCTATGTATGAATATGCTTCCTTCCTGCACTAAAAAGGAGTGAAAATAAACTATGGAAAATTCCTTATTATCTTATTAAGCAATCACCTATCTACCTGTATCCACACAAAATCTATCAACTCTTCAAAAATTTTTGACAACAGAGATCAGAAAATAATTTATTCCTATCTAATTTAATATTATTATTACTATCTAAAAGTAATTTTTCCAGTATGTTGGGAATTTGTTTCCCCCTGCCTTCTTAAGAAATATCTCATTTTTCTTGAAACACATTGTGGCCTTGGTGTTTTGGTGGCTATTCTCTTCTTTTTTGTGATTTCCTTTGTGGTCACGGACCCGAGTCTTTCCTGGAAGCTCATGCTCATTCCTATGTTTGGTATCAATCAATACTGTTTTGCAATCTCCCTTCTCCCCCATACCATAATTGTTAAAATGCCATTGTATTTATTATCACATTTTATGTGGGCAAATTTGTATCTGCAGACCAGGTTTTTCTTTAAGCTTGAGAATCAAATATCTAATGCCTACTTGAAATCTCTGCTTGAAGGTCTCCTCAAATGTATCCCTTTGCACAGTTTACATGCAAAACTGTTTCTCTTCCTGTGTCCCCCTTCCATTCAAGTTTGCAAGCAAAAATAACCAGCAAATTATACTTCACAACTCTGTCTTTCAGCCCCATATCTAATCCATATTTAACATGATTTATTTTGCCTTATACATCACCTTCAGATCTGTCTATATTTTTCTATCACATGGTGTCATGTAATCATCTCAATTCAAGCTACTAGCATAGCTTGCCTACAGGACTACGATAGTGTTAATTATTCCGGGCCTTTACATATCTCATTTACTTTGTCCACAACGTCATATCACCATTTGCCCCACTTCCATTTTCATCTACTCACTTGACAGCTACATACTTCCCAGAAATAAACTAACATATTTAATAGTCTTTCTGTTCCATATTTTTATAAATTACCACACTTTTTCTTTACGGCATGTATCATAATTTGTAATTAAATATTTTTGACAATATAGGTATATGTACTACACTAGATTCTAAGCTCTGTGAAGTCAGGATATATTTCTGTTTCTCTCATAACTGTACCATAATAACTAATCACAGTCTCTTGCTTAACAAGTATTTATTGAATGAATGAATGAGACTCTTTCCTATGCTATTTACTTTGCATATGGAGTCTTTTAGTGTAGATTCCTCAAAACTTCGCCTTCTGAATGCCCTTTAGGAAGAAATCAAATTATCTCTCTTTGCCTCACCCATATTTTTAAATTATTTCTATCCTTACTTGAAATACAATATATGAAAACTATTATTTATCCAACCAGAATAAGATATCCTTGTCAGAAAGACCATTTTTGTCCCAATTACTTTCCACAGCTTCTGGAGCATAATAGCTTATGTGAAAATATTGATACTAATCACTGAGAAAAATACAAAAATGTTCAGGCATCAAACAGGATTTTATCAGTTTGCCAAGTATTCTGTGTGGGCTGCTCTGAGAATCACATCCTGGCCCTGGAGGTGGTCCTGGGCAGTATAACTCTGCAGCCGTACACTGCTACTTAATTATCAAACATTTCCTAATTTACTGATTTTATAGTCAAGGAAAATAGAGAATGGGTAAAATTACTTATAAAAATAGTACGTTCTAGGTTGATATTGGTAGATAAACTTTCACATCTTTAAAATATATGTGTTTTGATTCAGAAACAATATAATCTCTGGTGATTTTCTAGAGTCTATTTTTTATATTATGTAAATACAACTGAAATTGAAACTTACTTGGTTGCACCACTCAGTTCTATCTATAAAAAACAAAAAAATCTCTCCAAAGGCTTTTCATTTTTAAACTTTTAATCACTTTTAAAAATAAAGCTAACTTTCTTGTATTTTTTCCCAACTATAACCTCAGTAATAAAATGTCCTCCTATGTATCCAAATCTTGCTTTAACTTAAAGCAACAAATAGGATAAAAAGTTAAGTACATAAAATCATGCTATATTTAATTTAGCCTATATGCTAGGTAGTTATGTCTGAAATGATAGTTTCTTCCTGTAAACTAAAGGTGCAACTACATTTCTTGCTGAGATTAGATAAACAGCATGAGAAGAGAAGCCAAAAAATAGAAAATCCAATATTTTGTTGATCTCAAATCGGATATTTATGTTTTTTGATTGTATAAGTGTACACCTGACAAATGTATATATCTTCTCTGAAGAACTGCCTTATTGGGTGACTTGTAGAATTGTGTGATTTTATGGTTCACATTTTTTTCCCCATTTATTTATCTGCCAACATTTTTTTTTTTCACACTCAGGGTACACGTCTAAGATCACAACTCACCTGCCTTCAGCATTTCTTTCTTTCTTTTTTCTTTTATTAAATCATAGCTGTGTACATTAGTGTAATTATAGGGTACAGTGTGCTGGTTTTATATACAATTTGAAATGTTTTCATCAAACCGGTTAACATAGCCTTCACGGCATTTTCTTAGTTATTTTTATCTAAAACATCAATTTATTGTGAAGCTTCGATTTTCATATAAACCTTGCTCAATTCAATAGATCAGCTCCTCTAAATCCTCCCATAATCTGTGTTTGGAACAGTGTAGTCATGTGCAAGTTCGGATTTGGGAAGGCCTTCCATAACGTTATAAACTTTGGATAGGGTAATCTCTTGATTACCTGAATAAAAGCTGTATTTGTGATTCTACTTTATCTACCTAATCTAGGACAGTAGAATTTGCAGTTCACCCCACTACTTCATTTTTTCACCCTGGCATCATGCTAGCTGACAGTCTAATCTAGAGCCACATGAAATGCCGTACCACACAGGTCAGGGGCTTCGTCAGAGTTGTCTCCACAGTCGTCTTCTCCATCACACACCCAGAAATACAGTTTGCAAAGGGAATTATTGCAAAGGAACTCATCAGCTCTACATATATTTCCTCCTTTATTTTAAAACAAAAACGAGATAGACATATTGGACATTATGAATTCCAGTCAGCAGGACACATACGCCTCTAACTCTTAGCACACAATATCTACTTACTTGATTCCTTGCATTTATTTTCTGAATTAATAGTAGGAATGCATAACATTCAATTTTTAAAAAAAGATATTCACAGTTTACATTTTAAGACATTCTAATATTACTCATATACATCATCTTTTCTTTAGAATATATAGAGAAGATGGCATAAGCAAGTTTTTAAAAGGCACAAATCGTTTTCTACTTCACATAATTCTTATGTTACTGCATGTAAAGAAATTTATATTTATATATATATTTGTAATTTAATTTTTTTTTTAATTTCAAGTTAATGTGAGGGTACAAACAAGTAAGTTGCAATATTTGCATTTTTTAGGTAGAGTCCCTCTTATTGTGTCCCACCCAGGGGGTGAGCCACATACTCTTACACTGTGCCCATTAGGTGGGAGCACAGCAATCCCGTCCTCCTCTCCTCTCACCGCCAAACTCTCTCTTCCTTACTTGAGTTGAATTGAGGTTTTTGAAATGAAACAAAAACATTTCAGTTTTTGTTATTAAAAATTGTGTTTTTCTGGAAAGAAATACACTTTTAGTTATTAGATAATTCAGCTGTATCTGGCATACCAATAAAATATATCACTAAAAACTTAGAATAACCAGTAAAAGCTTCTTATAGTCACAAAACTACTGTTAATTTTGTAACAGCAATTGGAACTTAGTCATATCATATAATATTTCCATTTTTCTTCTAAAAATTGTGTAACAAGGTATCCTATTTGGGGAGGATATTTTAAAAACGTTTACAACTTTTTCTCTTTTCAAAAATAAATAGAAATCATTAAGAATATAGAATTGTTCTAATGTAAAATTGCTAAATACATCTACCACACTCAAAGGACTCAAAGAACTAATAAGTTTTAATCATGTGTCTAGAGATGAAGCAATATGTAATGGGAGTACAATGACTAGGGAGTTAGGAACTGTGGGTTCTTATCTTACTTTGGACAAATACATTTATTTCTCTGAGATTCAATGTCTTTATATGTTATAAGGAGGTATGGTCAAAATGACTGTAAGAAGTACCTGGGAAAACAACACAAGGATGAGAATTCAGAATTAAGATAAATAAGATTGCTCTCAGGGTTTATATTACAAATTTAAATCATATACATAAAATAAAAGATATGGTTCCAGAGTTGATTGGACTTGACTAGCTGAAACTATTAACATATTTAAAAATGGATACTTACATTTAGAAATAGCTGTTGTTTATCTTGTGGACACACATTGGAGGGAATAATGTACTTAAGCTTGTGAAGATCAAATACCTCTTTTTGCTCTGAGTTTTGACTTGCTACACAAATCTCATAACTCACTTTCAGTGGCAAAAGCTTTAACTTAAGAAATGACATAATCAGATTTGAATTTTATTATGAAAATACTAGTTTCAGTGTGTAGAATTTGGAAATGAAGATGGACATGGTAAAGCCAAGACTGGCTGAATAAAAGACCAATTTGAAGGTTGTGGCAATTCAGAAAATAATGGATGGTGATGTTTAGCAGGGTAGTGGATGAGTATGTCTGAAATATAGGATAGATTTCTGAATCATAAATGTGCATCTGGGAATGTTCAAAATATAGTTATTATTTGAAGTTTAAAAGAGAACAAAGAGTTAAGTTTAAAAGAGAACTTCAGGTCAGGTAGACAGAGTGATTGGAGCTGCATCCGGAAAGAAACAATTCATGGGAAAAGTGTTCTAAGAAGAAGGTTAGCACATTTAAATAATGTTACAGAGTAAGTTTAGTGAAGTGGTGGTGGGTTTAGTGAAATGATTGTAGTTGCTTATTGAATGAAATGGAGAAAGAAATAGTAGTGAATGAAGACATCTCTTTCCAAAAGTTTGGTCATAAAGGGAAGGAAGAGATAAGAAAGTCAGGTGGTAAATGAGCCTGGTTGCCTGCGTGGGAGAAAACAGATGTCTGAACACATTTAAATGATTCTGGGAATAATTCAGTGGAGAATACAGAATGGAGAAAGAGTAATTGATATAATGAGTTTCCTGAGAATCCAGAGTGTGAGAGCTTTGAGATCTAGAGCAAAAATAAATAAATAAATAAAATAAAAGTTTAGGCAACTTACTCATCTGAGCACAGGAGGCTTTAGGAAATCAAACATCTGTCACTGGGCTATCCCTTTCTTTCAGACTGCTGCTAAACTCTAAAACACTGTAATTCTAAATTTAACCTCAACTACTAAAACTAATGCAACAAAATACAATGCCATTTAACAACTCTCTCACACTAAAAACAATAAAAAATAGCATGTATAGTCTTTAGTACTAAAATAATTAAAGATATGATTATCAGTAAGAGATGAGTATTGCCCTAATTCAAAAATCTAAATCCACAGAATATGAAGGAGAGTTGTATTTTTTGAGGATAAAGATTCTATTGACTAAATCTTATTGCATGCTTCACTTTATAATGGATTGAATTCAAACAGAATTTATGAACTCTTGACAATTTTAGAAAACACTATTTGTAGCACATACATCAGTCTCATTAAAAGGAAAAAATGAGTTTCCTAAGGTATTTCATTAGATAACATTATAATTTTCTCCATAAGAGTATTGGATGTGCCACAGGTTTTATTAACAAGAAGAGAAATATCAATGAAATCATAATTATAACAGAAAGGACAGATTGTACTGTAAAGATTTTGCATTTCAAAAAATGCATCATAGGTGTCCATGACATCCTAGGTCTCAGTTATATGCACTGTTTTATGTATACCTTAGGCCATTTTAAAATAAGGCCTAAAGCATATACAAACAACAATGTCTTTTACATAAAGATTTTACATATATTTTAGCTGACAATTACTAAAAAGAATACCTGCCAACATTTTCCACCAAAATTGTATAAAAATCAAGTATAGAAGCTCAAGTCAGAACCAGAATCAAGTTTCCTTTAGGCCCTATATTTTACCTTTAAAAATGTTGCTTTTAATTCCATAGTATTTAAGATTTGAGACTTTTAAATTAAACTAGCAAAATTGATTAATTGGAAAAATGTGCCATGCTTATTTTGAAGATTTCTTACATTCTGTGTCCCAACATTTAGCCCCTTTTAGTTCACAGTCCAGATCGGAAGCTTTACTGGAAAAGATGAATGAAAGACTTACTGGAAAAGATCTTTATCCTGACATCTTTCCTTAATGATTTAAAATACCAAATACAATACCAAAGCCACTTCCTGGAAGTGAATTAAATACTGGAAATCTGAACTTTGTCAAGCTTTAAGGTACATCCATACTGGATAAAATACTGTAACCACCAAGGTATTTGATTGGAACATATCAATAACTACTTAGCAGCAAAGAAAGCCAAGAAAAGTTGGAAGTGTCAGTGGAGAGGAAAGGGGAACATTGACACTTTTGTATCTTATTAAATGAAAGGTTCTCAACTCTTTTCAGTCAGTAAGATTAAATTTTAGATCTGAAGGACACCTCAGATTTTCCATTTTGGCTGGGATATAATACATAAAAAGGAGCAATAGAACGTAAGTGTGGGAAGATAGCATGGGATCATTCTCTTGTAACTAAAACTACCAAGTTGGGTTATTTCTATGTAACCAGATATCTTGACTAAATATTTATATAAACAGAGCTACATTGAAATTAACGAACCTCTTAATGGCAACAGTGAATAGTAAGTATTGGAGACCAGTTAGAGAGTACTAAATAAACCCAAGCAAGAATCTGTGGGTGAATGGACAAGATTGGCTGTGGCTACTGAAGTTGAAGGATGGAAATAATTAGGTGGAAAATGGAAAATTAGAAGTAGTTTAATTGTCATCCCAAAGTATTTGAATCCAAGAGTGCGTATGAGTTGCTGCTACCAGACTATATCATGGATAGTCTGCTGCTGTCTCCTGCATGGCCAACTGCAGAAAATGAGTCTGAGAACGGAAAGTGGTAACAGCTGTTGTGGACATTTAATTGCTTCTATTGGATACAAGAACACTTTATCAGGTTTGGGGAGATCTCATCGTAAACATCTGATGGGATATTCAAGAAAGCAGAAGTCAATTCAAGGCAGTGGGCAGGGGAATGAGAGAGCAGGGAGAGAGGAAGAGAGAGGAGGATGGGAGGTTACAGTGGCTGGCACACCTCTTAGGGGTGGGACACAATTAAAAGAGGGACTACCTACGAACTGCAATCAGTGTAACCTAATTCTTTGTACCCTCAATGAACCTGAAACAATAAAAAAAAGAAAAGAAAGTAGAATCAAATTTTCCTTGGATGACTAGTTATATATAGAAGTAACTATTTTAGAGATATTTTAACTGTTAAAACTCTGAATGCACATTCAAGTGCTTTGATTCATGTGGTGATATCTAGTATCATTTCTGTTGATGATGCTCCAAATATTCTGAATTGTAAATTCTAATGACAGACTTCTGCAAGCCAGTCACAAGAACTTTTATGTTTTATTGTCCTATTTAACAACATTAAAATAATAAGAATTGGTTAATTTTTGATCATTTTAAGCTTTAGCATATGATTGCTTTCTTTACATTAATTCTCATTAACTCTAAAAGAGTAATAATCAACTGTGTTTAGTGCAGTAGTTTATAACTAAAAGTTGTTATCTGTCAGGAAATAGTCTTCAAATAGCTGGAAAATAATATATGACAAAACTAAAAGTTGTTTTCGAGATGGATAAAAAAAGGTAGGCTGTTTTCTCCATGATATGGCAAGAAGGAAATCTGGGCACAGCCTACAACCTATATATCAGACAGTGTACCAATGTGCACAATCTAGTATAACCTATGTTACTCTTGTTCTTTCAGAGTAAGGCAGGGAATATGGAAGAGAGGCATGCGCATAAAATAGAGGAATCCTTTTGCAGCAACAGCTATGGTGTCTACATTCTCTGTAGTCACATACCTTATCCCTGACCCAGAATCCAGTCTGAACACTGGATTTAATACCTCACGGTGGCCAATCAATAAACACTTGCATTTTGTTTGTTTTTGCTAAATAGAGATCAAGTTTATACTCTTTCTGAAGATGATCTAGATTTCCATATTTTGAACAGGTTGTTACGTAATGAAACTTCCTTTAATGATTCTATCTTCTTCCCCTAGCACCTACTGCATACATTCTGCACAGCATCTAAACTTTCATTGTCTCATTGTGCCCATTTATGGGCACACAACAAAAAATACCTTACCTCTGTCACACTTCTCTTCATCACTGCCATCCACACAGTCATGAATTCCATCACACAGCCATCTAATTGGAATACAGTGGGCTTTATTTTTGCACCGAAACTGATCTTCCTTACATTCAGTCACACAGTCCATCTGTTCAAATACAAATGGGAACTGCAGTTTTCATTAATGATAATGATATAGTCACAGGGAAAATAAACATGTAGCTTATAATATTGGAGATTTATTATACCTCAGGCTTTCTTTCATTGTGACTTAACAAAATAACCTCTAGAAATTACAATAAGCTTCAGTGTATAAAGATTCAAGTACTTGTTGAAATGAATGCATTCAATATATTTACTGACATTTTAGATGTTGCCAAGAATCAAGTTTCTGTCCCTTTATTTTCATTGTATTTGTTTTTCCAAACTTAATTCATGTCATTCAAAGACTTCAATTGCATGATAGATTTTACCTCATCTGAACCATCAGCACAATCATATTCTCCATTACATTTCAAAGATGCTGAAACACATCCACCGCTGGCACATATATATTCACTTGATGAGCAACTAGGAGAAGCTGAATGTAAAATATGAGATTTAGATGCAGTAAAAGCATGATGGGTTGGGGATATAAAACATATATAAACACTTAAATTTATGGAAAATAATAATTGTTTAAGTTATTCAACATTTGGTTTTAAAGATACATTTAAAATGTGTTTTATAATATTGTTGCATTATATTAAACATATTTAACTGATATAATAGCCTATGCAGTAAGAATTTAACTCAGTAAAAAAAGAAAGGGGATCCATTCTTTTGATTTTCAATTGTCAAATGAATTTTTCATAATTTTAAATTAAATTATTTTAAATAATTAAATACTCAAATGTTTTGAAAAATATAACAACATTTAGTAAGCCTTAGAAATGTTAACCATATCTATAGTATATAAAGCAAATGGTAGAAATCTTGGTACCATCTCACAAACTCAATGCAATCTATTTGGCTGGGTTGAGAAAGGAAGAGTATTTGAATTACTTTTAAGAATTTTATTGCTTTGGAGTTTTAAATGTAAATATATGTATAATTAACGGAGCCCATATCATGTGCAGTATTCCTGGAGCCTATATCATGTGCAGTATTCCTTATATAGAAATTAAAAATAATAGCTGGATAAATGTTATTACCACTACCCATTCTAATTGATTGACAGGATTGTGAAAGCTGGCTTTGTCTACGAGGCTTGTATTCAAACTTCTGGGCCTCTGGCTTATATTAGACTATGAGGTAGCCAAATATATGATGACTTTGTGGATTGAATGGCTTGGTTCAAGGATGCTAAAAAACTTTTTCCTTGAGATATGTTTCATTTTAATTAATAGTGTAGGCCTATGGATCTATATTAATGAGGAATCTAAGAACACGTCTGGATTGGGTTAAAGAAATTGAAATGCACGTTCAATTAGCAATGTGGATCATGGACATGACACTGGGGCATGGTAATGTATGTTTCTTGTATCTGCTACTCTGACTGAGTCTCTCAAGGCAACGCTTTCGTGGTTATACATAGTTTACAGTATGCTTTTCCTCCAGTAACTTTTTTCTCATAAGAAAATATAATTGAAATATTTATATAAAAATTTGTGTTTTAATGAATATATTTATAAAACCAGATTTAAGAAATAGAAATGTATAAATTGGTGATGTCATTTTTATCTGTATTTTGATTTTTCTCCTTCATTTTATTTTGATTTGGTTCAAGATGTATATATTCTAGGTTGGCATTACACTGAAACTACTACATTCTGTTTCATAATCTCAATTTTCATAACTAAAACCCTGTCTTTTATGGCATTACAATTTCAACCTATTTCATTTGATTATCTTGGGAAAAGAATTCCAAATTGTGCAATAAGATATAAAAAACAGAAAATCAAATTTATAAGAATATTGTTCTGGTTACATACATGAGTAATGATTTTATCTGCCAAAACACTTTCTAAACATGTGATGGATATACCTATTCATTTATTCACAAATATTCCAGATTATTTCTTAAAAATGGTAAATATGTGACATGTTTACCACTGTTTTATGCATATTGCTATTAAAATGTAACTTATATCCAGGTAAAATGTCAACTAAATTAAATATCACCTCAATCATTTTACCTGGCTCACAGTTTTTCTCATCTTCCCCATATTTACAGTCTTCATGGCCATCACATTTCCATTTTGCTGATATACACTGACCATTGGAACACTGGAACTGGTCTTTGGAACAACTTGTTTCACAATTTCTCTGTCAAAAACAACATAGATATATTTAAAATTAAATTTTTAGAAAACTACTTATGAATGCAAAAACCTAGAAAATTTACACATGGAAAACCTTGAACTAATCTTTGGAGAAATTTGGTCCACAACTTCTCTGTCAAAAAGAACACAGATACAAGTAAAATTAAATTTTTACAAAACTGTCTGCAAGCCCAAAAGACTAGAAAATTTATGCGTAGAATCCTAAAATGTAGAAACCATGTCAGTTAAATAGTAGTGGCTCAGATGGTCATATTTTAAGCCCACGAATACATACTGTGATTATAACAATTTTCCACTTTCAATTGTCTCTGTGAGTCAATAAAAGAGAGGAATGGAAAAAGAGTATAAATGCCTTAATCTCATATTAATTAAGCTGTCCTGAGTGGCTATTTCTTCAACAGACAGTTATGGGGCAATAGAATTTTAGTAATTGTAGGTCATAATTAAGTTTGTGAGGAAATAAAAGGTCACTTTTTCAAATCTAGAAAAAATAGTCCTACACTTCGTATGGAACCAGAAAAGACCTGGAAGAGCCAATGTAACCTTACTTAATAAGAACAAAGCAGGAGGCATCACTTTATCAGTATTCAAGCTATACAAGAAGGCTATAGTAACCAGAACAGCATGGTACTGGCACAAAAACAGAGACAAAGATGTCTCTCTCAGAACACAGAACTCAGAAATGAAATCATCCTCATGTTCCCATTTGATCTTTGGTAAAACAGATAAAAACAAAATGTACGCTGGGGAAAAATTCTGTGTTCAATAGATGGTGCTTGGAAAACACATAAAAGACTGAAACAGGATCTGCATCTCTGACGAATCACAAAAAAATAACTCACAGTTGGATAAAAGACTTAAACTAAGGCATGAAACTATTAGAATCCTAGAAGAAAATGTTGGAAAAATTCTCATAGATATCAACCTCAACAAAGAATTCATGAAGACCCCAAAGGTATTCTCAGCAACAGTAAAAATAAATAAATGGGACCTGATCAAATTAAACGGCTTCTGCACAGCCAAGGTCACAATCAAAAGAGCAAAAGACAACCCACAGAATGGGAGAAAATATTTTCGTGCTATACATCTGAATAAGGAATGATAAGCAGAATCTACAAAGAGATCAAGCAAATCTGCAAGAAACAACCAACCTCTCTATAAAAAGTGGGTAAAGATGTGAACAGAAACTTTTCAAATTAAGATATACTATGGCAAACAAACTCATGCCAAAATGCTCAACATCTCTAATTGTTATGGAAATTAAACAACAGTGAGATATCACCTAATTCCATGAGAATATCTTGTACTAAAAGTCCCAAAACAACAGACGCTGGTGTGAATGTGGAGACCAAGGAACTCTTACACACTGTTGGTGGGACTGCAAACTAGTGCAATCTTATAGAAGATTGTATAGAGATACCTCATACAACTTAAAGTAGGACTACCATTTCATCCAGCAATCCCACTGCTGGGTATATACCCAAAGGGAAAAGTCCATTTTATATGAAAGACACTGACACTCAAATGTTAATGGCAGCACAATTCACAATCACAATGATGTAGAAACAACTGAAGTGTCCACCAGTACATACATGGCTAGATTAATAGAATGTGTTATATGCATACTATGGCACATTACTCAACCATAAAAAATGGTGACCTAGTATCTTTTGTGATAACCTGGATGGAACGAGAAACCATTTTTCTAAGTGAAACCTCACAAGAATGGAGAAACAAACACATGTATTCAATTGTGAATTGGGCCTAATCAATTCACCCTTAAGTACACACACATAGACACACACTCATACACACATACACACACACACACACACACACACATATATATATATGGAAGTAAATATCAATGAAGATCAAGGTGAGGGGAAGAATGTGGAGAAGGTGGGTAAACTCACACCTACTGGGAACAGTGAACACCATATAGGTAAAGGGCACACATGACTTTAACTCAATCTGTACAAAAAACAAATAATATAAACAAAACATGTTCACCCTCTAACAAGCTGTGGTGTACGTATACCATGGAATGCTATTCAGCCATTAAAAAGATGCGAGACTAGGGGCGACACCTGTGGCTCAAAGGAGTAGGGCACCAGCCCCATATGCTGGAGGTGGTGGGTTCAAACCCAGACCCAGCCAAAAACTGTGAAAAAAAAAAGATGTGAGACTTTACATCTTTTGTATTAACCTGGAAAGAGCTGGAATGCATTCTACTTAGTAAAGTATCACAAGAATGGAGAAGCAAGAATCCAATGTACTCAATTCTAATATGAAGCCAGTAGATGATCTACTAAATATCTACATAAGTGCAAAACTCAAATCAATTCAAGGTGTGGGGTAGGGGAATGAGGGATCATGGAGAGGGAAGGAGAGAGGGGTTACAGTGTATGGCATACCACCTGGGGGCAAGACACAACTATAAGAAGGATTTTATTAAGAAATACAAACAGTGTAAACTAATTCTTTCTACCCTCAATAAAAAAAAAGAAAAGTATAAAAAAAGAAGAAAAGAAAGAGAATAAATAAATCTAACCTCAATTTGCAATTTAAAAAAGGAAGAAAATTTATTATTACAGTGCTTGTAGCCCTAGCTATTTGGCAGGCTGAGGTAGCAGAATCCCCTACATCTGGGGTTTTTAGGGGGCAGCATGCAAGGACTATCTGTAATTAGGCACTGTACTACAGACTGGGCAATATAGTAAGACCTTATCACTAAGGAGGTTTTTTGTTGTTGGTTTGGTTTTTGCCGTTTGAACCCGCCACCTCCAGCATATGGGACTGGTGCCCTATCCTTTTGAGCCACAAGCACCGACCCCAAATTGAGCTGTTTTCTTTTTTTTTTTCCTTAGAGACAGAGTCTCACTTTGTCACCCTCAGTAGAGTGCTATGGTGTCACAGCTCACAGCAACCTCCAACTCCTGGGCTTAGGTGATTCTCCTGCCTCAGCCTTCTGAGTAGCTGGGACTACAGGTGCCTGCCACAACACTGGGCTATTTTTGTTGTTGTTGCAGTTTGGCCGGGGCTGGGTTTGAACCCAACACCCTTGGTATGTGGGGCCAGTGCCCTACTCACTGAGCCACAGGTGCTGCCCCCACTAAGGAGTTTTTAAACAAATTTATCTAGCCCAGTACATTTGGTGTGTTGGGGGTGGTTGCTGTGGAGGTTAGAGAGGGATGGGACATGAAACAAGTGAGAATCTTATGGCAAATATGCTTTGCACTGGCAAAACTCCCCCTCGCTTTTTTTCTCCCCGCCATTTCTTTTCCTTTGCACCAGTCCCTTTACAGCTTGATTGGTGTTCATATTCTTCTTTTTCTTTCTTCTGATATTTGTTGGTCAAGGACTGTGAAATGGACTGTCAACTGTCATTTCTACTATTGCATATACGAATTTTATTTGGAAATAATATTGAAGATTTACCTTTCAGGATCTTTCAGTTCTTTATATGAGATAAATTAAAGAGATCCACTAGACATTCACCCCACCTGGATCTGCATACTTTCATTTAAGTGGGATGCTCCAATGAAGTGTCTTGTCAGGATGATGTGTAATCTTGCTAAACAATTTTTGTTATTGTCAAAATGTACTTGTCCGCTCTTTCTACAAAAGATGCAACTCTCTCACAGCTCCTAGAACTCCCAGTGAGTGAAGCATGTTGAATAACTATTGCCTGTTTCTTCCCAGTTGCACTCCCATGTAAGGGAGGACAGTTTACTTTCTGAGTTCCTATCATTTTATCTTTGCACATGGCAGTTTAATTAGATAGTCTGCTATATAATTAATTTTCTTCTCTTCTCTTCCAAAGTATTCGGAGTTTACCATTTTCCAGTGACTTAGATAATGGGAATATAGAAAAAAAATATTTCCTCCCTATATTTGATAAATCCATAGGCTAATATGAGGCCAACCTGATCAATAATTGAAATAAAATGTCAAGGTAAATGGATATGGCTTCAAATTGGAGCTATTAAAAATGTACTAAGACGATGTATTAAAAAGGCTTCACAAAGGAAGTTTTATTAGGAATGAAATTGCCTAAGAAAAAGCTTTCTGTATGTAAAGAGAATTAGAAATGTGGAGTATCTGAATGTTTAGCTATGTAAGGTGAATGGTGTGAAAGATGTTAGAGTAATAGCCCACAAACCTGGTGTGAGAAGTGTGAGACAGAGATTTCATATGTTTTGTCCACCATTGTGTTCCATGCTCAATTAGTTACTGAAACATAATAAATATTCAATAAAAACTGCTGAGTGAATGAATGCAGAAAACAGGAATATAAATTAAAATATAATGTAACAACTCCACTGAGACCAAAAACATATCTATCTCTGAACCAATTATCTAATGCTATGCCATGATTACAAAAACCTTTCATGAACATCTATACAATCAATGAATAGTTATCTCTGCAGTCAGGCCATTGAAAGCTCATTGACCAAAGGCACTGGTATGTCTACAGTGTTTTGACAATACAGAAGGTGGTACTTCCAGGTATTATTCACATCATCATTAGATTGAATCTGAAATGAATTTGTTTTGAGTTTATGTATGTGTACGCATATTTCTATCTATATAAATGGGTATCCAGCTATTTAGACTAAAATATACAAAGAAGTAGAGAGAATAGTACTATAATAAACTCTACGCATTCACCTTGTTCATTTAACAACTATCAACACTTCACTGTTCATGTTTCATTAATCCTGTCCTCACTTGTTTACATTCTATAATATTTTAACATAACAAAAATAGCATCAGAAAGCAAACAGTCACAAAGTAACTAATTCTTTAGTACATGTAATCATATCAGAACTTTTCTCATTTACTTAACCATATGAAAATATTATTTGGTAAATTAAGGATTCTGAAAAGGCTTATACATTGAATTTGGTTTAAATTTCTTTTCATGAATAACCATTTCCCATTCTCTCACATTTTTAAAATGCCATTTACTACTTGTAG